AAAAACTACCATCCCCATATATAACTAATCTGTGCTGTGCACCACCAAGAACCTGCTTTAAATTTCCATGCCAGTTTACAACCCCCACACTGTACCAGGCAAGGTTAGTGGCTATTGAAAATACCACCAGGACAGGGCTATCTAAAGCCACATTCAGTAGTGTGTTAACTATACAAAAAGAGACACTGTACAGTTTAAAAACAAATCTTACACAGCCTTACATTTCAATTTTTTTCTTCAAAAGGAGTGAGTTGTGTACAGGGGGGTTAAATGCTTTATAGACAAGAAAAAAAACTGTGCTAGAACCAATTTATTCATCATCATCATCATCTTCGTCTTCATCTTCCTTCTCTTCCTTCTTTTTCTTGCTTTTTTCAGCCTTGACGACTCCCTTCTTCACTGCATCAGGCTTTCCTTTAGCTCGGTCTGCAGCAATATCCTTTTCGTATTTTTCCTTCAGCTTTGCAGCCTTTTTTCCTCAGGCTGCTTGTCACCCACAGCAGTGTTACTCCACATCTCTCCCAGCTTCTTTGCAACATCCCCAATGGACAGGCCGGGATGTTCTCCTTTGATTTTTGGGCGATACTCAGAACAGAACAAGAAAAAGGTTGAAGGAGGCCTCTAGGTGCATTGGGATCCTTGAACTTCTTTTTTGTTTCCCCTTTAGGAGGGATATAGGTTTCCATTTCTCTTTCATAACAGGCCTTGCCCGCCTTTGCCATATCTTCACATTTTCCCTTCTCTTTAGCAGACATGGTCTTCCACCTCTCTGAGCACTTCTTAGAAAACTCTGAGAAGTTGACGGAAGCATCTGGGTGCTGCTTCTTGTGCTCCTCCCGACAAGTTTGCACAAAGAATGCAGATGATGACATTCTGCCTCTCGGCTTCTTAGGATCTCCTTTGCCCATGTTTAGTTACTTTTCCTCAGCAAGGCACAGAGTCGCCCAGTGCCTGTCCGGCTCTCACTTGCCCCAGTACTGTCTCTATGGAGCTCAATGTACTGCAATGGCTGTCTTAATTTTTTTTTTTTTGAGACAGAATCTCACTCTCTTGCCTTTGGTACAGTGCCATGGCATCATCACAGCTCACAGCAACCTCAAACTCTGGAGCTCAACCATTATAGTATATATCTGAAATTTATCAGTTTACCTTCAAATGATAGTATACTATTTTATAACAGAGTACTTCCATTCCCCTCTCTTGGCCTTTGTGCTATGGTTTGTCATCTTTTACTTCTATAAAGATCACAATGAATAATTATTTTTGCCTTTCTTTTTTTTTTGTGACAGAGTCTTACTATGTTGCCCTCGGTAGAGCACTGTGACATCACAGCTCACAGCAACCTCAAACTCTTGGGCTTAAGCGATTCTCTTGCCTCAGCCTCCAAGTAGTTGGGGATACAGGCGCCCGCCACAATGCCTGCCTAATTTTTGGTTGTAGTTGTCATTGTTGTTTGGTGGGCCTGGCCTGCGCTTGAACCCGCCACATTTGGTATATGTGGCAGGCGCCCTAGCTGCTGAGCTACAGGTGCCAAGCCATTATTTTTGCTTTAATGTTCAATTATACTTTCAACTATGGTCAAAGCCTTTTGTATTTGCCCACATATTTAGTGATTTTGATGTTATTTATTCCTTTGTGTAGTTCAGTTTTCTATAGTATTTTTCATCTGCATGAATAAAAGAATCTTTTCACGTTTCTTATAGTAATCTAATGGTTAATTCTCTGAGGTTTTCAATGCTTGGAAGTCTTTATTTATTTGAGACAGTCTCACTCTGTCACCCTGGGTTGAGTGTTGTGGCATCATCATAGCTCATAGCAACTCAAACTCCTAGGCTCAAGTGATCCTCCTGCCTCAGCTTCCCGAGTAGCTGGGACAAGTGCCTGCCACAAGGCCTGGCTAGTTTTTCTGTTTTCAGTAGAGATGGAGTCTCACGGTAGCTCAGCCTGGTCTCAAATTCCTCAGCTCAAGAAATCCTCCTGCCTCAGCTTCCCAGAGTGGTAGGATTATAGGCGTGAGCCACTGAGCTCCCCCCACACCTCTTTTACCTTTTTAAAACTAGCTTTATTGAGGCATCATTAACATAAAATACTCAATTACAGCGTTTAATTCAACAAAGTTCAGCATATATTAACATACTCATTCAAAACTCATGAAATCATTGCCTAATCCTGATAATGAACATGTCCATCACTCCCAAAAGATTCCTCATGCCTCTTTGCAAACTGTTCCTCTTGTCCCCTAACCAAAATTCTTAGTTTGCTTCTACGTATTTTCCAGATTTTTACAAAATAGAGAATTATTTTGTTGTTTGGATTCTGTCACTATAATAATTTTGAGGTTCATCTATAATATAAAAATTATTTTTTATTGTTATTACCTTTGTTTTTTGAAAGAAATTATTATGGTAGAACATAATATAAAATTTACTATTTTAAACATTTTTTTGTTTCCACAATTTTGCAATTGTAGGTTTTAAACATTTTCAAGTGTTCAATTCAGTGGCATTAAGTACATTTACATGTTATGTAACCATCACCACTAGTTTTAGAACTTTTTCATCATCATTTTCAAAACTTTTGTTTTTCAGTGTGCAATCTGCTGTTAATCCTATCTATAATATTTTTCATTTCAGACAATGCTTTTTTTTTTAATTGATTTAGGTCTTTTTTATGTCAAACATGTCATATATATATATTGTTTTTTCTCTGCCTTCCTTAACATGTGGGTATATGGTGTTTATGTATTTTTTGAGACAGGGTCTTGTTTTGTCACCAAGGTGGAGTGCAGTGGCATGATCATAGCTCACTGAAGCCCCTAAGTTCTGGACTTAAGAAATCCTCTTGCCTCAGCCTCCCAATAGCTGGGACAATGGGCACGTGCCACTGTATCTGGCTAGTTTTTAATTTTTTGTACAGATGGAGTCTCACTGTGTTTCCCAGGCTGGTCTCAAACTTCTGGGCTCAAGTGATTCTCCCTCCTAGGTCTCTCAAGCAGCTAGCAGGTGGATAGTAAACTTGATCACTGATAGAAGGAAAACTGCTTGAGTTTCTAATTGATTGCTTGAAAAATGAGTTTAGAATGTCTTTATGCCCATTTATACTTCAAGTGTGTCTATATCCATGTGGATAAGCAGGTATTTGGATATAAAGTGATTACTGGAAGGTTATGGTACATTATGTCTGAGAAACCTTTTAGAAACCAAAATATTTTTCAAAAGTTAATGTATAACACCAAGTCTTACTTGCATTTTATGTAATTTTCTATATAATGGACTTGAAAGTAAATGAGTTCACATTTATGTTCTGGTTCCAGCGCCAGTGTATCTCTATCCACGTGGGGCAGGCAGGTGTCCAGATTGGCAGTGCCTGCTGGGAACTGTACTGCCTTGAACACGGAATTCAGCCTGATGGTCAAATGCCAAGTGACAAAACCATCGGTGGCGGCGATGACTCCTTCAACACGTTCTTCAGCGAGACTGGGGCTGGCAAGCACGTGCCCAGAGCAGTGTTTGTGGACCTGGAGCCCACCGTGGTGGGTAGGTGTTCAGGCAGTAGATGGAGGCTTTCCTGGGGGTGGAGAGAGTACCCCGATATAAAGCCCCACGTGGGCTCCTTTGAATCTCTGTAGGGAAAGGGCAGGATGGACAAGCAAGTGTCTGTGGTGGTGTCAGGTAAGAAACTGAAAGGGTCACGGGCCTGTGGGACCCAGGCTTCCAATTTAGGAAAATCTGACATGCAGGGAACAACTGCTTTGCCAGCAGTCTGGAGAGATTCACTCTGGGTGCCCCAGCCCCTGTGTGCAAAAAAACCCCATAGATCATTCATCTGATTCCTCTAGATTAGAAGCCCCAGGTAGTTTGCAAGGAGAGAGGACCTTTCAGTGGCCTCCTAGGAGATGAAAGACTCACCTGACATCTGTGTGACCCAGACCACACACAGTGTCCTGAGGGACTGTCCTGCAGAAGTCAGATTGACCTGGTGATTGCCAGTTTGTGAGGGATTTTAAAGTTACACCCTTTGATGTGGCTGTGGGTAGGAAAGAAATGTGTCCCCCATAGAATTAACACTCAAGGGGATGTGAGAGCCTCTTTCCCTTCACTGGGAACCAGTCCTGCTGATGTTTGTACTGCAAGCTGACTTTACCTTCCTGGAGCCATAGTAGCATTTTTGGTTTGTGCATCACACAGAGACATTTTCATAAGACACTCCCAGAGTTGAACGACAAGGAATAAGATGTGCTCTGTAGAGGCACACAGTCCCCAAATGCATGGGTCTTGGTGACTAGTGCAAGAGCTTAAAGACTCAGCACGCTCGGTCTCTTTGTAGAGGAAGTGCGCACAGGGACCTACAGGCAGCTTTTCCATCCAGAACAGCTGATCACCGGGAAGGAAGACGCAGCCAATAATTATGCCAGAGGCCATTACACGATCGGCAAGGAGATCGTGGACCTGGTCCTGGACCGGATCCGCAAACTGGTAAGAAGTGCACCCAGAAGGCTTCGTGTGGGCCTCATCCGGGATGGGAGGGCAGGTCTTGGGTTGCACAGGAGAGGTGGTTGTGGCAAATGTTAGACCAGCATCCCAAGTCCATCTGAGTCTACAACAGTCTTACTGTGAAGTGCGCGTGGCGATGCATCCGTAGATCTTTACCGCCTGCCTTTTTTGCTTCCATGTGTAAGGTGTGTCCATTAGGGATGATTTGAATCCATATCAACCTGCAGAGGCAGAGAGGTGACACTGCTTGTCGGGGGTTTGGGTTGTGGCTTCCATAGGCATTGGCTGACGTCTGGTTTCTCTCAGGCGGATCTGTGCACGGGACTGCAGGGCTTCCTCATCTTCCACAGCTTTGGGGGAGGCACCGGCTCTGGGTTCACATCTCTGCTCATGGAGCGGCTGTCAAGGGACTATGGCAAGAAGTCCAAGCTAGAATTTGCCATCTACCCAGCTCCCCAGGTTTCCACGGCCGTGGTGGAGCCCTACAACTCCATCCTGACCACTCACACGACCCTGGAGCATTCTGACTGTGCCTTCTTGGTGGACAACGAAGCCATCTATGACATACGTCAGCGCAACCTGGACATTGAGCGTCCCACGTACACCAACCTCAACCGTCTGATTGGGCAGATCGTGTCCTCCATCACGGCTTCCCTGCGGTTTGATGGGGCCCTGAATGTGGATTTGACAGACTTCCAGACCAACCTGGTGCCGTACCCTCGCATCCACTTCCCCCTGGCTACCTACGCCCCGGTCATCGCAGCCGAGAAGGCCTACCACGAGCAGCTGTCTGTGGCTGAGATCACCAATGCCTGCTTTGAGCTGGCCAATCAGATGGTCAAGTGTGATCCTCGTCATAGCAAGTACATGGCCTGCTGCATGTTGTACAGGGGGGACGTGGTCCCAAAAGATGTCAATGCTGCCATTGCCACCATCAAGACCAAGCGCACCATCCAGTTTGTGGACTGGTGTCCAACTGGATTTAAGGTAAGAGTGGAAGAAGTTGGATCCTTGTACCTGTCAGCCAGCAGCAGGCCTGCAGAATAATGCTACCCCTATGGGCCCATGTCCTTTTAGGAAGACTGCAACTGTTTCATTGGTGAGGCTTTTGGTCATAAATTAGGAAAGCAGAGTGATTATTTTGTGTCATTTTTTTGAATTCTTACTGTGGTATCACATTCTATATCTGTGGTGAGCTTTCTTTTATTCAAAGTAGGGTATTTTTTCAAGGATTTTTATGTCCCTTGTTAGCTGATACAATTAGTATAGAAAATGTAGGGTGAACTTATAGAAATTTTATTTTTATTTGGGTGATTCATGTGAATATCATAGATCATATAATTTTTTTAATAAATCATAGCTGTGTACATTAATGCAATCACAGGGTACAGTGTGGTATTTTCATATACAATTTAAAATACTCTGATCAAACTGGTTAATGTAGCCTTCATGTCATTTTCTTAGTTATTAAGACATTCATACTCTGCTTTTAGAAAGATTGACTTGTACCCTTCAAAGATAAACCATAGAGGTGACCCCACCAATCACCTTCCTTATACCCACCCACCCTATTCCCCTTCCCTTTCCCTCCCCCCTCCCCATATTCTAAGGCTATAATTAGGTTATATCTTTCCTATGAAAGCTATAAATTAGTTTCAACTTAGGGCTGTGTACATTGGATACTTTTTCTTCCATTCTTGAGATACTTTACTAAGAAGAACATTTTCCAGCTCCATCCATGTAAACATGAAGGAGGTAAAGTCTCCATCTTTCCTTAGAGCTGTATAATATTCCATGGTGTACATATACCATAGAGATCATATAATTTTTTGAGACAGAGTCTCACTCTGTTGCCCAGGCTATAGTGCCATGGCATCAACCTAGCTCACAGCAACCTTGCTTCCTGGGTTGAAGCAATTTTCCTGCCTCAGCCTCCTGAGTAGATGGGACTACAGGTGCCTACTATAACACCTACTAATTTTCCTATTTTTAGTAGAGACTAGGTTTCACTCTTGCTCAAGCTGGTCTTGAACTCTTGAGCTCAAGAGATTCTCCTGCCTTGGCCTCATGGAGTGCTGGGTCCAAGCCTGGGCAGTGTACATATTTTAACTTGGGTGTTACATTAACAGACTGCTCTCACTAAGTCCCACTTCATTCTCTAGGGCTATAGATGTTAACTCAAATTTATTTATTTATTTTTATTATTTTGGCTTTTTTTTTTGAGACAGTCTCAAGCTGTTGCCCTAGGTAGAGTGCCACAGTGTCACAGCTCACAGCAACCTCTAACTCCTGGGCTTAAATGATTCTTTTGCCTCAGCCTCCCAAGTAGCTGGGACTATAGGCGCCCGCCACAACACCTGGCTATTTTTTGGTTGTAGTTGTCATTGTTGTTTGGCAGGCCCAAGCTGGATTCAAATCCACCAGCTCTGGTGCATGTGGCTGGCACCCTAGACACTTGAGCCACAGGCGCTGAGCCATTAACTCAAATGTAAATATTATATGGAGTTATTTGATGTAAAGAGAAAACATCATGAATCTTTTGTGACAAAAAGGCAACCTCTTTATTTCTTTCTTGGTAATCCTAATAATAGTGGCATTAATTTGCTTTAAACATAAAACATGTACCGATTTTCCAGTGATCCATGATAGAAACCTGTCACGTCTTAGCTTTCCCAGTAGCTGGTTACTCAGTCCCGGCCGTTCTGTCTCGGGTCTGTGTGTCCTCATGCGTTGCTTCTAGTGACCCTCACTGCTCCTGTTTGGGGCACTGTAGCAGTCCTCTGGGAACTCTTCTCTTTCAGGGACTAGCATGGTTGGTGGGGCAGCCACCTCATTGTTATGTAAGGTTCCACCTGGACACAGCTGGCTCCCTTCATTTACATGGAGCTTTGCTCTGCAGCAGCAGAGTTGAGTAATTGAGACCACATAGCCTAGAATTTGTACTGTTGCATCCCTTTCCAAACAAGTTTGCTGACCCCCCTGCTCTGGCTGACCCCAAACTTATGCCCAAACCTCCAGTCATGCTATTCCCGGCTCTGACACTTGGAATGCTGCCTCCTTTGGTCCTTACCATGGAATGTCACCCCCCACTGGAGCAGCCACATAGATCACCTCTGCTACTCTGGTGGCAGCATTCATATGACCTTTGACTGTTGGTCTGTGACTTTTGCATCTGTCCATAGTGGCCTGCTGTGGGTCAGGTGTCTGTGGGCACACCTCCCTGTGATGGTATCACAGTTGTATGCCCTGAATCCACCTGGGTGGAGAAAGTTCCAGCCTTAGAAATTCTTCGCTTTTGTTAAAGTTTTAGAGTAAATAATTGACAGAGAAGACAAGGCCATGTACAATTTCAGAACGAAGACAGAGTCCCTTCACCTGGGCAGCTATCATGTGTCACAGTTGCTAGGACACAGCCCTCCGGGCAGCTTGGGACTGAGCCATTGTGGCTGATTCAGAGGCTCCTCTTTCCCTGCTTTTTCCTTGTCTGGAAGCACCACCTCCTGCCCCAGCACCCTGCCTGGCAGTGAGAAGGGCTCAGTGACTATAGGGTAAACTGAGCATTCTAACTGGTCACCAAAGGCACATATAGTGTGGTTTTGTACAAGAGCTTCACATGATGTTTTCTTCCCTCAGGTGGGCATTAACTACCAGCCCCCCACAGTGGTCCCTGGAAGCGACCTGGCCAAGGTGCAGCAGGCTGTATGCATGCTGAGCAACACCACCGCCATTGCTGAGGCCTGGGCACGGCTGGATCACAAGTTCGAGCTCATGTACGCCAAGCAGGCCTTCGTGCACTGGTACGTGGGAGAAGGAATGGAGGAGGGGGAATTCTCGGAGGCCCGTGAAGACCTGGCAGCTCTCAAGAACGATTATGAAGAAGTGGCTGTGGATTCTGTTGAAGCTGAGGCTGAAAAAGGGGAGGAATACTGAGGGGAGGGTGTGGCAGGCACACCCCTCTTCCACTCTTTCCTGCCACACCTCAGCATAGCTGTTCTCAAGTTTTGTACAATTAAAGTTTCTATTTAAAAGCAAAAGGTTTTCCTGTTGTGCTGCTCAGTTCTGCTTGCAGGAGTGCATGGGGCCCCAGAGCCCAAGATAGCCTGTGTTACTGGCTTGGGGCTGGGATCCAGTACTGCTATACAAGTCTAAGGGGCCAGTGCTGAAGTGACTTTACTTGGAGGAAATACTTAGTACATCAAAGCCAAGGTTTCAAGGCATAAAGGTTTATCATGCTCAAGGAAAGCTGAGTCAGGATTTCAATTGAATTTGCTATTTTGGGACTCCTCTGTGGATGGGACATGCAGACTAAAGTGTAAGAGCTCAGAACTACAGAGTTTAAATCCAAGGTCTGTGGATGGGGAAGTCCAGGAAATCCCTAAAACCACAGATCCTATGTGTAAGGCCAGGACATTTTGGAAGAAAGCATTAGTGAATTCCATGGCACTTAGGAGCCACAGATCACAACATGCCCGTGCTAACCTGCCCAATCCAATGTAATCTGGAAGGCAGCGTTCTCCCTCTGAGCTCGCACTGCGTCTTGGTGCTGTCAGCAGGCTTGGCTGTACCTTTTGCTTGGAATGAAGTGTGTTGATGTCTGTTTATAAAAGACCTGTCAATACATTATTTCTCTCAGACTTAAAAATCGGGGCCAGGAAGTTATCCAAGTTTAAGTCACTTGGTGAGTTCAGCTGTAGCATAACCAGGACCAGCACAAAGAACTCATTCTAAGTCTTTGTACCTTAATTTATTCAAAAGTGATAGAGAACATCTGATGTGGACCCTCTGCTGTTCAGAACAGTTCATTATCACCTGATTGGAATATAATACAGTCTTTGCTGGGAGGATGTGAAACCTCAGCAGGCCTCTGTGTGTCAAGTCCCTGCCAGTCCTTAGGAGCTGCTCCGGGTGGGGCTCTTGCCAGGCCCGCCCACCTTGGGCAGCCTGGTGGCACTGGGCTGGCGGGGTGTCCTCTGGCTGGGTCCTTCCCGGCTGCTGCGTTCTGCTAGGCCTGGTGTTCCACCAAGCGTGGTGCCGCCTTTGTTTCTCCCTGAGGACACAGAGAGCATAGATGTTAGAAATGGCAAGTGTTGTGCTCACAGCAGCCCTGCTATACGTGTGACAGCATTTGTGTCTATGGGTCTGTCAAAGCCATTTCTACTGCAGACCCTATGTCTAACCCAAGTCCTGAGGCACAGGAGACAGCTCATCCCAGAGAAAACCCTGGCAGTGTGCAGGGCTGTGTTAGCATGTGACCCAGGGAGAAGCTTTGGAAGGAGCAACTGGGAATGTCCGAGAAGCACACACACCATCGCCTGCATAGGGAAGAAGAGCTGGGCTGGTCACACTTGGCTGGGATAGCATATGTGGTTGGCCCCATTCCCCATGCCAGCAGCAGAGGGCTTGAACAAACCTCTGTGAACAACCACAATGGACCCTCCCTCTGAGCAGCCCCAACCAGACTGACAGGAAACCCAGCAGTTGCTAAGTACTTCAGTCAGGCTTCTGATTTGGGAAGCACTTTCTCACATTTTGCTACCAGAATATTCTATGAAGACAGTATTTAGCCTCTTACTCTCACATTCTCCTACCCAAGTATTCTGTGAACACAGTATTAAGCCTCTTACTTTTGGATTTAGCCACTGGACTTCATGATTGGGTTCCTGCTGAGATTTTCCTTCTACTACTTTATTCTTAGATGAAGACCACCAGTTCTGATTTCATTTATAATTTGCTTACTCTACTTTTTAGAAAAGATAGCCAGGGAACCCCTCAACCACAGTTGGGCCAAAGCTTTTTTGAGACAGAGTTTTACCATATTACCCTCGGTAGAGTGCTGTGGCATCACAGCTCATAGCAACCTCAAACTCTTGGGCTTAAGTGATTTTCTTGCCTCAGCCTTAGACTACAGGCACCTGCTACAACACCCAGCTATTTTTTGGTTGCAGTTGTTTAGCAGGCCCAGGTCAGGCTTGAACCTGCCAGGCTTGGTGTATGTGGCTGACGCCCTACTCACTGAGCTATGCGCACCAAGCCAACTAGTTTTTTTTTTTTTTGTAGTTTTTGGCCTGAGCTGGGTTTGAACCCACCACCTTTGGCATATGGGGCCAGCACCCTACTCCTTTGAGCCACAGGCGCCACCCTAACCAGAGCTTGAAGAGTGGCTTCCTCTGGGCTCAGGGTGTTGCTGACAGTAGCGACAGTGACTGAGATGACCCCACTGGAGACAATACATGCCTGGGAAACTGGCTGCAGGATCATTGTCCCTCTCACAGGGCTCTCTTCTGCTCTGGCCTGGTGGGATCCACCCTGTAGGCCCTAACCAGGGCACAGTCCCCCTACATGACCCCCACTGTGGGTCCCCTAGCTCCACCTCCCCTTCCTTTGTCCTGATGAAGGCAGAGTGCCCCCATGCCCCTATGACCCAGCGACATGCAGCTTTTCCCTGCAGGCCTGAACCCCAGCAAGGGCCTTGAATATTCCCAGGCACTGGCTGTTTAGGTCACTGCCTGAGTCACTGAAGGACCAACTGTGCTGCTAAACATGTGGATGTGGCCCTGCCCCCAGCCACATTCTTTGGACCCTCAAGGGAACTGCAGCCTGCCTGGGTGGATACCCCTCCCTCACCCACCCTGAGGATGTGCTGCACCCCAAGTGTACACTCCCCTAACATGTGCTTCAGACTAATCTCCCTGGTGTTCAGTACTTTATTCTCCAGATTCCAACCAGCTCTGCCTCGGGAAGGTTTGGTGCAGTCCCTTGTGGGCACTCCCCTGCTGCAACTTTTGGGGTGACTCCAGCCAAGTGTTTGGCCAGAAAGAATCCCCAGCTTGATCCTGGCTCTTCCCAGGCTCCTTACTAAGGTTGGTGGGATAGTGGGCACTGAGGTAGGGTGACTTCCTGGGCGTGAGACACAGCAGGTAAGTGGGGGCTCCTTGGGTTGTTTCTGTTTCACCATCTGTCACCTTGAGCAAGCAGAGGCACCTGGGTTTGAGACTCTGCAGACCCTGAGCCTCCAGAGGCATTTCTAAACCACTTTCCATGCCACCCAGCACTGCTGGTACAATTCTCCCAGTACCCTGAAGTGAAAGGATGGCTTTCTCTATGAGAATTTCTGTGAAGTTCTTGCTCTGAATGAGCAGATCTCTGCTGCCCAGTGGGGTGGCAGGGGTTATGGTGGCATCACCTAGACCTCTTGACAGCTCCTTTGCCTGTCCCCAGCCCTACCTCCCTGGGCTCACACTTAAAATGTTCACACAGTGGATTCCACAAAGATGTAGAGATGGCTTCCCAGAACCAAGAGGTGCAGCCAAGAAGGGGGCGGGGGACTTGGGCCAACGCAGCCCTACCAGTGACTCATGAAAAAGAAAGACACCTGCATTTCTTTTGGTACAAACTGCCATTATCATAGTCAGTAGGCAAGGCTCCCATCCCCTCCATGCACAGCCCTGCCACTCTGTAGTATCTCCCACAATAGGCCGGTGTCCTTCCACAAGCCAGGCTGAATTGCATCTTCTGTACCAGCCTTACCTTGGGTGCTCAAGTGACCATGCACTCTCGGCAAGGGGCATTTCCTGAGGACACAGAAATAAGGCTTGGGGATCCCCTGGGTAACTCACAGCTCTCTACCCCAAGATGCTGTTGAGGGGCCTTAGATGTGAGCCTGATGGAGCCAGCTTCCCTTCAGCCCTGCCACCCACCTGACATTTCACTGTCCCCTCAGTAAAATAACCACAGCCCTCCCACAAACACAGGAAGGGTGTAGAAAGAGCACATAATGCTCATCTTTACATCTGACAGGGCTGCCAAATTCTGGGAGCATGACCCCAAGGTAACTGTGAGCCATGAAAGACATTAAGAAAGCCATGCTGGAACCTCTAGGAGTCACATGCTCTCATGGTCAATGGGTGGAAGTGGAGAGCCCCTGTTATGTGAGGCCTGTTATGTGAGTAGAGGTGGCCCAGAGCAGCAAGGCTGCAGGCCTGAAAACAACAGCCTGCAGGACCTGAAGTGGAAGATGGGGCAATGCCTTACAGTGAAAGGACCAGCTTTGCTCAGCCTGGTCCCTCGGAGTGGGGTCACTGGGTCAGATTGGCTGGGGGAGGGGCTGAGCCAGGTATGACTAGGGGGTGGGGTAGAAGTGAGGGGACAACTGATATACTCAGGCCTGATCCCTGCCAAAGTCAGTGCCTCATGCTCTTCTAGATCTGGGAGTCCTGAAAACAGTGGGTGGTCACTCTGCATTTTGTGACCCCCAGGTAAGTAAATCCTCCCAGTGCAGCAGTCTGCCAGCCTCCTATATAATTAGGGAGTCCCTGGAACTGGGTAGTGGCCAGACCAGAGTGGGATCAGCTCTATCCCTTACCCTAGGTGTGACCTATGAGAGAGTCAAACTATCCCTGTCCACTGCTGGGCAGAGCTGGGGGATGAGGATTTGTCTCCTTCTGCTGGTCCTCAAGGGTGGTCTTTGTTCTCTCACAATGGGAATGCTACCTCACAATACCATGGGCTGGCAGGGACTTGCGTTAGGAAGGGAAAGAACAGAGAATGGGCAAAGGAGCGGTGAGAGAACCCAGAGAAGGAATGAAAACACCTCCAGCCCTGCTCTGGGAGTGGAGACTGTCACTGTGTCAACTCTTCAACGTCATGATGGCTGGTGGCAGCATAGCAGGCCACCCATAACCTCCATAGGCATACAAGCTATCCTGGTGGGAGCCAACTCAGTGCCCCTCAAGGATGGCTGACAGGGTTTGGCGGCCAGAGCAGGAAGCCAGAGTGGTCAGGAAGGTCTGAGCTGTCACCAGCCAGTGTTTTTACCCTCTCTGGCCAGGCACACAGGAAGGGCCTAATCAGAGCTTCCAGAACATGCAGACGTAGTGGCTGCCAACAGACACGCAACATGGAAGGGCACATATGCACTCCTAACTCCCAGCTCAGCCCTGTAGGTGTGCCCACAGACCCCTCCCCTGACACACAACCCTGCCTGGCAGATGCTTGGAAAAGCTGTAAGTGGATATGCAGGAGTGGGACTATACAACAGGAATATGATGTGAACCAGATACCTTTTTTATTAGTGACAGTCTGCTTTGTCACCCAGGCTGGAATGCAGTGGTTGATCATAGCTCACCGCAGCCTCCAACTCCTAAGCTCAAGCAGTCCTCCTACCTCAGCCTCCTGAGGGGCTGGGACTGGAGATGCTATATTGCCTAGGCTGACAACTCTTGAACTCTTGGCCTCAAGCAATTCTCCTGCCTTGGCTTCCTGAAATGCTGGGATTACAAGTGTGAACCACTGTGTGAAGCCCACATACCTAATTTTAAATTTTTTAGTAGCTTTGTAAAAATGTAAAGTAACTGCAAGCTATTCCTTTTAAAAAAGAGAGAGTAGACCTTCACTCAAATAATAGATGCTGCATTTGTTTTTGTACCAAACGTTCACCATCTGCCATGTGCTTTCAGTGTGTTGCAGCTATCCCAGCCATGGGGTGGCTCAGGGCTCCCCTGTCCCCCATCAGGCAGCACAGCTGTGAGTCATGCCTCCCACATACCAAGTGACATCTGATGTGTTCTGGAGGGACATCTTTTTAAACTTAAAGATGCTCAGCAGAATTTAATCTTTCAATGACTCCAGCCCCTCACCATGACAAGCCATCACCCCTCGTGCTTCTGAGGTCTTTTGTGTCCCCTTCTCTGCTGGGTGTGAGTGAGCCTATTGTGTTAGTCCCCTTGGGCCACCTGGAAAGCTGGGGACAGGAACCCAGATGTCTTGCTGTGCCTGCTGCAGCTTGGAGAGGCAGCCTGAGTGGGGCTGGCCCATGGCCTATGGCCACTGCACACCCCGGTCTGTGGGAAAGCTATGGCCATTACACTCTTGGCTGGGTCACTCTGACAGCCCCCTTATTTTCTCTACCCCATATTCTGCCATTAACAGGGCAGCTGGGAGATCTATGTGGTCAGAGTCTATGACACTCAGGCCTCAGAGACCTCTCTAGTGGCCTCTGTTTCTCAGTCTCAGCTCTCCCAGGGAGGCACTCATCTGCCCCACTGGGCATGCCCCCAGGGCCTCCCCAGCCTCACTCCTTACCTTCTAGGCCTAGCAGGACCAGAAAAGCAAATGACCCTGAGGGGCCCAGGGCTCCAGGCTACTCCTGTCCTTGTGCTAGTGGCTTCCTTCCCACCTCAGTCAGGGCCCCACTCACTGTCCCCACACCCATGTTCCCATTGCTGTGCCCTCCTCACTCCCCTCTTCCTGCCCCAGGCCCAGGAGCACGTGGACAGCACATGATGCTGGGCACCTCTGCCCTACCCCTCTCACCCCCCAGCTAGGAGGGCTGCAGTGCCTCCTCCCCACCCTCCCCTGTTTAGCCCTTGCTGCTGTGGCTCTGAAGCCTCTGGAGGCCAGACAGGGCATTACTGTTCTTCACCTGGCCACATCTCTCACCAAACCAAGTGTGTACATCTCACATCCCTGCCATGTTCAGTGCTGCAAGCTGGCTGAATACCCAGAGCCACCCTGGAATGAGCAGCAATGTCCCCCTGAGTGACGAGGACTACGTACTCAGTTCCTCCCAGCCTCTTAAAACCCACCCCTCAACCTCATCTCAGCCTGTGGTCCGCCCACCCACACCTGCGCCTTACTGGGCCTGAGCACCAGGGGGCACCTAGAGCAGGGAGGTGGGCCATCTGGGGACAGATATGGAGAAGGGGCAACCAGGGTACCCCTGGACTCTCGTATCTGGGCCCCCCACCTCACCTCAAATGGTGATGCCTAGATAAGACCTCCAAGGAATCAGGCAGGAAAGGAGACTCTTTCCCAGGGTGGCTCATGGAACACGCATACATCATTCATCTGGTGCTGCCCAGGAGGCGTGGAGGAGGGATGACCATCATTTCAGCCTCCAGACCCCCCATGCAGGTGGAAGATGGCTTCTAGGAGGCTGTGCTCTCCATGGCATACCACACTGTCCCCTGCCTGATGTTCGCAGGGGTCACGTCTTGCTTGCCAGAGTCAGCCTCTGAGGTACAGGGGTGTTAGGCCCATCCCCGGACAAAAGCCTTATCCAGAAATAATATAGTAATGTGTCTCTGATAAACCCCAGAAACCAGGCCCGTCTCTAAGCGCCATAGCACTGATGGCCTGCTTGGTTCTGCCCTTGCAGCTCAGAGCTGCTCAGGCCTCCTGGGAACACTGCAATTTCCATGGAAACAGCAGAGTACACCAACCCCCAGAGATAAGCCAATAAACACGACCTGCAAAAGGAGAGAACAGGCAGCAAGAGAAGCAGAGGGAACTGGGGGGCCCTGGAGAGAGAGGCGAGTGTGCCACAGCTGGGCCATGGAGCAGAACTGGAGAGGCCTCAGGCCGCCAGCCAAAGGGAGGGCCTTGCAGGGGGGATACTGCTCCTGGCAAAGAGAAAGGCCTCTGGAGGTCAGAGAGAGACACAAACAGAGCAGTCAGAGGTTGGGTCACTGAGGAGGCTGGAGTGTGGGTGCCCTGCTCTGGCCAGGGGGCATGGGCATCCAGGGCCCTGGCACTCCCATCTAGGGGCAAGCCTGACCCCTGCCCCCACTCAGGATGCCTGTGCCAGCGTCCTCACACTTTCATGCATGAAGCCTGCCATGGACCTCCATCCATTTGCTGTATTTCAGAAGGTTTCAAATAGCTATAGGATACAGAACCAACATGCAGGGAGGATGAGCTGAGGCAGGGACCAGGCGCCACTGTGACATACTCTCTCCCCTAGGTATGACCACGGAGAGTGAGGAAGCCCTCAGGCCTCCACACGCTGAAAAAGTTCCAGGGCAGCCAGGAGCTAATGCTCATTCTCGTCCTGTGGTTCTCAGAGGAAAGCTGGCCAGGCTCCTGGGCAAGACCTGGGGTACAGGGTGGCCGCAAGGCCTCCGCCTGCGCTGCTCCCTGAGTGCTTCCCTGGAGGCTGCAACGCCGCAGGACAGGGAACAAAGCCGTGTTTGTGGGAGGAAGGCAGACACGAGTAAGTGAGGCGGGAAAGGCCGAGGCAGAGTCTGCTCCCACCATCCTGGGGCACCCACGCTGTGTCCACCTGCCCTCGACATACATTCCCAAGGGCAGCAACGAGGCCAAGGAATGGAGCCCACGGATGGGCCCTGCAGGTCCTGGTTAAAGACTGACGGCCTGGCCACTCAGGGCCCAGCCTGCCCTCCTCCCGCCCGCCACGCCCGCCCCAGTTCTGACCTCGGGGCTCAGGCGCGCTCGCCGTGGGCAGAGACGCGGCCGCAGGGTCCTGGGGCTCGCTCGCCAACCTCTGCCCAGCACACATGGACTTGAGCATCTGGAACACGGCAAGGGGGGCCACGTTCAGCTTGAGCAGGTCCACCAGGATCCTGGCGAGAACAAACGCGGTGCGCAGTGAGCCCTCCCCGCCGCGGGCCGAACCTCCCCAAGGACGGTGACCAGGGCGGAGGCGCTTCTAGACCGGCGGGCCGGGACCCGGGGCCGGAGGGCGGGACGGTAGGAGGGCAGGGGTGTTGGGGCTGCCCCACGCTCGCTCACTTGAACACGTCGGGGTCGATGGCGCCGCCCGCCGCCTGCGCCAGTTCGTACAGCTCCATCTCCTCGGCGCTCAGCACCTTCTTGCGCCGCAGCGCGAGCTTCTGCCGCGCCGCCTCCAGCCCCGGGGCTGACCCCGGCCCAGGCCCGGGGCCTTGCGCCGCCATTTGCGCGGCCCGCGGGAGGTGCGCGCCCCGCCTCACAGCGCCCCCTACCGCCGCGGCCGCAGTCCCGCCCCCAGGCGGCCCCAGCGCGAGGGTGGATCTGGGCCAGATGGCGCCGTCATCCGACCCCCAGGTTTACTGAGCGCCTACTGTACAGTGAGTGTTAGGCATCGCGGGCGCCACCGCGGACCGCAGAGGCCCGCCCCTTGGGTGTCAGGGTTTTCCTGAGAGACTGCGCTGATCATGCTTGCTTAGGGAGCTGCAACCGGCGCACCGACAAGCCCCTACCCGGCGCTCCACACTTGGCCGCCAGAAGGAAGCGTTCAACGGAAAGGGGCCCTTCTGTTCCGCGCCGTTTTCCCACTAGGGGTCAGTCTTCGAGCGCCCTAATCAACAGCTTCTGCTTGTGCGCACGCGCGCACCTTGGGGTGGCTAAGGTGCACGAGCGCGGGCGGAAGGGCGCGGTTGCCGCCACTACCCTCGCGCATTCAACTGCGGACCACACCCCCACAACCGGGGCGCCTTTCGTTTTGCGCACGCGCCTTTTGAGGTATCCCGGCAGAGAGGCGGGGGTGATTTTCCCGCGCAGCCAGGGGGCGTTACGCCGCGCGCAGCTTGATGACGACATTTCGTCGCCTGGAGTGCGAATGGCGGCTTTCATTCCTGAGGCGAGCGGCGCTATGGCTCCCCCAGGTAAGTAGCGGGAGGCACGCGCGAAACGTCCTCTCTCCCCACCGTTCTCCGCGAGTCCCGGCACTCTCTGCCCTGGCCGGGCGGCGGGGGAACCGAGGGCTCCCAAGTGGTCCCTCATATCACCTTCCCAGGCCACGCCTTTATGCCGCCTTCCAGCGCAGTTCAGCACACCCTGGCCCGACAGGTGCTTGGATAACGTTAGTTGAATGAGTTGAGGGAAGGAGAGCTCCTAAAGTTGAGCCTTGGGGCCAACAAGCGTCGTGGGAGGAAAAGCCTGGTGCGTGTCCTGGCGCGCCCCTTTTCCCGGAGTGGCGGGACTTCTCCCAGCCTCTGGGGTAGGGGCTCCGCATGGCCACTAAACGGGACATTTGTGAGCACCAGGGAGGTGGGAGGACACGCTGCTTCTTAGCCGCCAGAGGCAGCCCTGAGGCCCTCGGACTTCCCTGGACATGGTGAGCGTGGCCGCCCTCAGGAGGAACCTTAGGGTCGGAAGCAGCTCCTGAAGAAAAAGGGGTGTAGGAGGGACGGGATGGAGCCGCGTGTGGGGGAGAGTGGCCCGGGCGCAGGGTCAGAAGGGTGTGTGGACACTGCCGTCTCTTAGAAAGCCCTGGGTTTGGCTCAAGCGGCTAAGGCGCCAGCCACATACACCTAAGGTGGCGGGTTCGAATCCCCAGCCCGGGCCCGCCAAACAACAATGACGGCTGCAACCAAAAAATGGCCAGGCGTTGTGGCGGGCGCCTGTAGTCCCAGCTACTTGGGAGGCTGAGGCAGGAGACTCACTCGAGCCCAGGAGTTGGAGGTGGTTGTGAGCTGTGATGCCACGGCACTCTACCCAGGGGGATAGCTTGAGGCTCCGTCTCCAAAAAAAAAAAAAAAGAAGCCCTAGGTTTGATCTCTCTAATCCTCGATTCAGACCTTGCCTGCAGAAGCTTCCTCTGAGCAAAGAGATGCTTTCAGTTCATCACTTCTAAAGCTCTCTGCCCTTTTCAAACAGTCCACCATGTTACGCTGCTTTGATCATTTTGCAGTGTTTTCTTGACCAAATGTGTCAAGACTGACTTACGTTTTCCTTAAAACTGAAATTGATAGACTGGGCACGGTGTCTCACTCCTGGAGCTCTAGGAGGCCAACGGCACGGGGAGGTGGAATTGTTTGATATGGGGAGTTGGAGACCAGACTGAGCAAGAGCCAGAAACAAACAACAACAACAGAAAACCCCAAAACTGAAATGGATAGCTACTTGAATTAAGAATGAAAAACAAGGGGCGGCGCCTGTGGCTCAAAGGAGTAGGGTGCTGGCCCCATATGCTGGAGGTGATGGGTTCAAACCCAGCCCCAGCCAAAAACTGCAAAAAAAAAAAAAGATGAAAAACAAAAGAAGTGTTCCTGTTGTCACGTGTCAGAGGCTCTGGTCTCAATCTCTCAGCTGCCTACAAGGCTTCCCTACCTGCCTTTCTGGTTCCATGTAGCCTGACAGGTGCCAGCTCAGCACCTTTACTGATGCAGTTGGCAGAGCAGAACTGGTTCAGCAAAGCCATCACTAACCATCAGTGGGACCCAACAGGCTTCCTCTCTGCTCTTTCCAAGTCGGGGTGTTTTCTGTGCCAGGCCCTGGTGGGCAGAGAGGTGGGAATCCGCAGAGTTGATCCTCATTTTCTGACAGCTCATTCAAAGGCTCCCTTGGTGCAGTTTGCTCTTTCTCTCCCATCCTTCATTCGTTAACTGCATAGAGCACAAGTAACTTGGAGGGTATTTGTCCACCTGTCTCAGATATATTATAATAATACAGAAGTGTATTATTTTAATCTTGTCTCTGCTGTTCATTATCTGGATGTAGGCAAGTGATTTATCACCTTTCTGCCTCTGATTTATCATCTGAACTAATGTCTTACAGTTGTTTTGGGTTGTGTTTTCTCTTCTTGCTTAACAAACTTAGCAGCTTTAAAGCAGCTCCTGGTTACTATCTCACAGTTATGTCTTCAGAAGTCCAAGAAGGCTCAGCTGAGTATCACAAGGCTGAAATGAAGGTGTCAGTGGCTTTGCTCTTATTTGGAGTTTCTAGAGAAGAATCTGCATCCTAGCTCATTCAGGTTGCTGGCAGAAAGTACTTCCTTGGAATTGTTGAAGTGAGGTCCCCTGTGTTCTTGCTGGCTGTGAGCCAGGGACCATTTTGTATTTTAATTGCATCTGTAGAATTCCTTCACAGTAATGCCCAGATGATGTTTGATTGAACACCCAGGGGATAGGAATCTTTTTTTTTTCTTTTTTGTTACAGAGTTTTTACTTTATAAAAATAGAGTGTTGCGGCATTACAGCTCACAGCAACCTCCAACTCCTGGGCTTAGGTGATTCTCCCGCCTCAGCCTCCCAAGTAGCTGGGACCACAGGCACCTGCCACAATGCCTGGCTATCCTTTTCTGGTAGTTTGGCCAGGGCTGTGTTCGAACCCACCACCCTTGGTATATAGGGCTAGTGCCCTAATCACTGAGCCACAGCCGCCCATGGGGATAGGAATCTTGAAGATCTGTCTTTAGAATTCTCCCTCTCACTGAGGATTAAGTGAGGAAATATGCGAAGAGCCCTTAGAGATAGTCCTAGCATAGAGTAAGTGCTACACAAGTGCCACCAAGGATTCACTGCCACAAACTCACCTCTGAAGCTAGCCACTGTGGACTGCATGAAAAGGGCACTTTTGGCTGGGTGCAGTGCCCATTTTCTATAATCTCAGGATTTGGAGAGTCTGAGGTGGAAGGATAGTTTGAGCCCAGAAGCTTGAAACCAGCCTCTGTAGTATCTAGATCAGGGGTCCTCAAACTTTTTAAACAGGGGGCCAGTTTACTGTCCCTCAGACTGTTGGAGGGCTGGACTGAGGGTTCCAGGACGAGTCGGCTGCTAAGCAGGACAGCCAGCGGCGGCAAAAACATCCGGTGGGCCAGATAAATGCCCTAAGCAGGCTGCATGTGGCCCATAGACCATAGTTTGAGGACGCCTGATCTAGATATTATGTTAAAAAAAAAAAATTAGCCAGATATGGTGTCATGCACTAAAACATAGGATGTAGCAGTGCAGTGTGTGGTGAGTCACACAAATGTTCTCTTCAGCATAAACATTCTCTTGGGCATTAGGAACCTACATATTCTGTTGTGTGGCAGATGCTGAGATTTCATCTTTGTTTTTTCACAGTGGTTTGCTAAGGTGGCCGTTTCTGACTCTCCACTAGAGGCTACCATGGCATTCCCTCATCTGCAGCAACCCAGCTTCCTGCTGGTGAGTATCAACTGCACACGTTGAGTATCAGCATGACTACAGTTGTGTAGCTAGTGTTTGTTTTGGAGGGGCGTGTGATGGAAATCATGCCAGAGCTGGGGTTAGAACCCTGCAGCTTGACTTTGTTTCTCTATTACTGCAGGACCTTAAGTGTATTCACTGCTGAGCTCTGGTTTTCTCCTCCACGAGACAAGTTGATTCAAATACTGTTTTCCCTGCTCCCCAGGGTGTGGGGAAGAGGAGCAAGTATAAAGGATGTATCTTCATGACCTGTAAATCCTTATGCAGATGTGGAGAGTTCCAACAATCATAACTGTCATCAGTGAAAATGGAGGGACACTGCTGTGCTGCAGTGTCCAGAACTGTACTTTAAGTGTTAACATGATGCTGAGAGGTCAGGTATAAGGCAGGTGTCAGAAGTGAAGGTTCCCAATTTCAGTTCCAGAAGATGCTTTTTTTTTTTTTTTTTTTTTTGCAGTTTTTGAACCTACCACCTCCGGCATATGGGATTGGTGCCCTAGTCCTTTGAGCCACAGGCGCTGCCCAAATGAACACTTTTTTTTCTTTTAGAGACAGAGTCTCACTTTATAGCCCTCAGTAGAGTGCCGTAGTGTCACAGCTTACAGCAACCTCCAAATCCTGGGCTAAGGCGATTCTGTTGCCTTAGCCTCCCAAGTAGCCGGGACTATAGGCGCCCGTCACAACGCCTGGCTACTTTTGCTGTTACAGTTTGGTCGGGGCCAGGTTTGATACCACCTTCGGTATGTGGGGCCAGCGCCCTACTCAATGATCCACAGGTGCCGTCCCAGAAGATGCTTTTTGTAAACATTGATTTGGAGTAGCATTCCTCCTGGGTGTGCCCCACTAGAGCCAGTAGGTCTAACCTATAGCCTAATGGCTTAGGTATCCATTTTTGCTTAGACCCTGTAGAAGCCACCTTGCTTAGAGGTAAGCAAGGACTTAGACACCCTTGGGAGAGCCATGTAGGTGGAATCTTGGTGTTTCTTTCTAATCTGAATCTCTTTGCTCAGAGACCATTTTTTTCCTTATAGTCAGAGTCCTTTCCCTGAATCCCGTAGGCTCAGTTGTATTTCCCTAGTCATCGTCCAGAGTATTTTCTGGCCTATCCATCACCTTTGTGATTAGTGTCTACTCGGCTGAAGCTATCTGTAATTTTAGCCTGCCCTGTGTTTTCAGGTCACGAGTTTAGTAGGCTCACTGCTGGTGAAAGCACAGCTTGGTGAAGAGGGCTTCTGTTGTGCCTGCAAATTGGACATTCTCACTGACGATCATAGCTATATAATCATGGGTGGTTAGTCAGGTGGGAAGTTTCCAGTTCCTATGAATAGACTCAGCAAACCATGGTCTGTGGGAGGCACCCTCCACAGTAGGAGTGGTCTCCTGTGAGGTTGAACCCTACTTAGGGATCAGCCCTCCAAGGTGACTGTAGCCACGTGAGGAGGATGCTGGGAAGCAGGCCTGAGCACAGCTGGTCTGGAGAGAACCACAGCCTCTCTTCTAGTAGCATCCTTTGGCCCACTGGTCACATGTGTGACCCCGTGCATGAGGTGCTGGGGGCAGAGCAGTGCTTGCGTGTCTGACCCACATCTATTACTTGACTGGAGCCAGAAAAGCTGCAGCGCAAATCTGCTTGTGACTTTTAGCTTTGTTCTGTCTTCCAGGCCAGCCTGAAAGCTGACTCTATAAATAAGCCCTTTGCACAGCGGTGCCAAGACTTGGTTAAAGTCATCGAGGATTTTCCAGCAAAGGTACAGGTCTGCTGGGTCTCTTTGGGGCTGGGCTTCTGCATTCCTGGAAAACTATCAGTCACTGATTCCTTCCTCTGTGGCACAGAGGCCTGACCCAGTATCTCTCATATTTGTGGAGATGTTTAAGCATGTAGACCAGTGGATCACAGGTGCTTCTCTCCCTCGGGACACTGGGCAGTGTCTGAGACTTTTTTGGTTGTCTTGATTGAGGGCAGATGGGGCATGTGCTCCTGGCATCTAGTAGGCAGAGGCCAAGGATGCTGGAAATATCCTTCAACACACAGGAGAGCCCCAGCAGCAAAGAAGTACCCAGCCTGAAATGTCAGTAGCACCAAGATTGAGAGACTCTGATGTGCATACTGAAAATGTGTGTTCACACCTGGGGCTGGGCACAGTGTGTAATCCCAGCACTTGGGAGGTGGAAGTGGGTGGATTGCCTGAGCTTACAGGTTGGAGACCAGGCTAAGCCAGAGTGAGACCTCATTTCTAAAAAATAGCCAGGTACTATGGTGGGTGCCTGTAGTCCCAGCTACTTGGGAGGCTGAGGCAAGAGAATCACTTGAGCCCTAGAGTTTGAGGCTGCTGTGAGCTAAGATGCATTCTACCAAGGGCAACAAAGTGAGACTCTGTTGCAAAAAATATTTATATATCATACCTGGAATCATCAAGCCCAGAAAGCTGGCCTGTTCAGAGGCCTAATACTGATGGCAGTAGGTCGGTTGTGTTTTGGGGGTTTCACTGAGACAGGATGTTGCCACCCTTTAAAAAAAACTCTTTAAATCAGAATTTTCTGACATTTTAAATAGTCTTTTAATCATAGGTTGACTTATTTAACTGGCCTGGGTCATGGTGCTCAGTATGCCATGCAACCCAGCAGGAGAATCAAACTCCTGTTCCCACTGGCATACTGTACCAGGGTTCCAGGGGTGCACAGCTGGTCCCGAAGGTCTCTACCAGGGTTTGACCTCAGAGGGAGCAAGGCAGTGCAAAGTGAAGGACTGGCACTGGGGTAGGAGTGGGTACCCTCCTCAGCACACTGGCCCATGGCCTTACTGTTGCAGGAGCTGCACACCATCTTCCCATGGCTGGTGGAGAGCATTTTTGGCAGCCTGGATGGCATCCTTGTTGGCTGGAACCTCCGCTGCCTGCAGGGGCGCATGAACCCTGTGGAGTACAGCATTGCGATGGAATTTCTAGACCCTGGGTGAGTAGTTTTGTCACCTGAGAAGAGCTGGGTGCTTCCTCAGGTGATCTTGTTTTTTAAATCAGTCTGTTTCTTTAAATAATCGAAGGCTGGGTGTAGTGACTCACACTTACACAATCCCAGCATTTTGAGAGTCATGGCAGGAGGATTACTAGAGGCCAGGAGTTTGGGATGAGATCTGACCAACACAGGAAGACCTTGTTTCTGCAAAAAAACTTTTTAAAGATTAGCCAGATATGGTGGTGCATGTCTGTACTCCCAGCTACTTGGGAGGCTAAGGCAGGAGGATTGCTTAAACTCAGGAACTTGAGGATGCAGGAAGTTGCAGTCAAACCACTGCACTCTAACCCCAGCTACAGAGCAAGACCATGTCTTTAAAAAAAAAAAAAAAGAAAAGAAAAAAATGAAAGAGACAGTCAAAATAAGACAGTTTATAGTTCATTTGTCCTGTTTTTGTTTGTTTACTTTTATATTCAGTGGCCCAATGATGAAGTTGGTTTATAAACTTCAAGCTGAAGACTATAAGTTTGACTTTCCTGTCTCCTACCTGCCTGTAAGTGAACTGTGGTGGGGAGAGTGGTGCTGGGGGCAGTCAGCCCTGTATAGTGGCTGTGGTGGTGGGCAGGCTGGGGCTCAGAGGGTTGGTGACAGTGGGCAGGAGAATGTCACAGTGACTGTTCAGTGTCCAGGAGGTACCACAAATTAGAACCTCAACAGTTAATGAGGTTTCTTTTTTTTTTTTATATACCCCTGTTTATTTGTTGAGGATTTTTTTTTTTTTTTTTTTTTTTGGCAATTTTTGGCCGGGGCTGGGTTTGAACCTGCCACCTCTAGCACATGGGCCTGGCACCCACCCCCTTGAGCCACAGGCGCCGCCCCCAGTTAATGAGTTTTTAAGGATCATCCCCAACTCTGCCAGTGGAGCAGCTGCCATGCTGCTTGGTTTGCTCCTGGCTAAGGGTCACATAGGGATATGTGACCAATCACTTTGTTTGTCTTTGTCTCCCATCTTCCAGGGGCAAATTGTGGAGTAACTTGTTCGGGCATATGAGAGGCAAAGGATGAGGCTCAAAAATGCTCTTTCTGCTGCTCTTGCAGTTTCCAGGTTTTTTTGAGTATGGTCAGAGAGACCTAAGCAAGGCTCTTATGCTTAAGCACTGCCCACAGGCGGGTTCTGTGTGCTGGTTTCTTCTCCAGCAGCTTTCCAGAAGGGCTGCAGTGGATGGGGTGCCTGCCCACAAACCTCTCTCTGCAGGGCCCCGTGAAGGCATCTATCCAGGAGCGCGTTCTCCCCGACAGCCCTCTGTACCACAACAAGGTCCAGTTCCCTCCAACCGGGGGCCTTGGCTTGAACCTGGTTCTCAGTATCCTTTGGTGGCCCAGTGGTGGGGAGGTTGGGGAAGTGGTTTAGCACACGATACTTGGGTGGCCCAACAACCCTGTGTTATGTTTGCCCCTGACACTACCATCATATCCTTTCGAGTATTACATATTCTTCTTTGCCCTGAGCCTGATCACTCAGAAGGTATGGAAGGGAGGCCCCTGAGGGGATGGGCAAGGCTGAGGCCCAGGGCTTCCCTGAGCTTGCTGGGCACTTGGCAGCCAGGCACAGCCCAGAGCCCAAACTGACGACAAGCTTGGTTTTCCAGCCACTCCCTGTGTCCCTCCATATCCGTACTTCAGACTGTGCCTATTTCATCCTGGTGGACAGGTACCTGTCATGGTTTCTGCCCACTGAAGGCAGCGTGCCTCCCCCACTCTTCTCCAGCCCAGGTGGAGCCAGCCCCTCACCAGCTCCCAGGTAAGGCTGTTCTGGCCATGAAGGGAGTGGCCCGGTCAGTGATGTCACCCATGAGGAGAGTGACGCCATCCTTTGTACAAGGGTCCACAGTTTCCCAATTGTTCTTGTGTGCCTCACCAATGCTAGCTGTCTGAGCCCAGGCTGGGGGCGGGGTGAGGAAAGCATATGTATTTTAGTTCTCAGGGTCCTCGGCCATTGCTGAAATTGTCAGGTCTCTGCTTCCTTAAGGCTTCACTATGTGGGAACCTGCTTCTGTTCTGCTCTGAGCATCCCTCCTACAAGTGGTATCTGAGCCCTGCACTGAGCTGGGGGGTGGGGGGGGCCAAGTGGGAGGGGTTTCTGTGGACAAAGGAGAATAATAGGATTCTGTGTAGGTCCCTGAAACCTGAGGTCTTGGCCTGAGAGTGAGGGCCCGGGCTGAAGAGCTTTTTATGCCAGGCCACACAAGCACAGCATGGGTAGGGAGGAGCACTGGGGGCCCTGATGCCTGGCTACTGCGGGGCCTTATTGGAGCCCTCTTGACTGACTCCCTGGGAGACCCTCCTGCTCCAGTGACAGCTGCCTGTGCTCTTCTGACCCTCCTGAACCTCACGGCACATCTCCTTCCCTGGGGGACTTCATGCCAGCATGTCCCTACAAACGCTGGCTCACTTAGCTGGCAGGTTCAGGCCATGCCTTTACCTACAACTCACACATTTGGGCGGATGCCCCGAGAGGGTGGAGAGTTGGGGGGCACCAGGGAAGAAGAGGTTCCCCAGGTGGCAGCAATGTGGTGATGCTGTGGCTGAGAAGCAGGACACAGAGGTAGGACCGGTTCCTGTCTTCTCAAAGTCAGAATTTAGCTGCCTGTTGGTAGTTGCTTGTCTTTATTTGTCTTATTTGCTTGTCTTTTTTTTTTTTTTTTTTTGATACAGAGCCTCAAGCTATCCCCCTGGGTAGAGTGCCGTGGCATTACAGCTCACAGCAACCTCCAACTCCTGGGCTCAAGCGAGTCTCCTGCCTCCACCTCCCAAGTAGCTGGGACCACAGGCGCCCGCCACAACGCCCGGCTATTTTTTGGTTGCAGCCGTCATTGTTGTTTGGCGGGTCCAGGCTGGGGATTCGAACCTGCCACCTTAGGTGTATGTGGCTGGCGCCTTAGCCACTTGAGCCACAGGCACCGAGCCTTATTTGCTTGTCTTAACTTTGCTTATTTGCTTGTCTTAACTTTGTATTTTAGAGTATTTTCAGACTTAAAAAGGAAAATTGCTGGTGGTGCCCGTAGCACGTGGTTAAGGTGCTGGCCACATGCACCAAGGGTGGTGGGTTTGAACCTGGCCCAGGCCAGCTAAACAGCAATGACAGTTGCAACAACAACCTCAACAAATTGCCATGCATCGTATAAAGACCTTTTCCTATGTCCTTTACCCAGATTTCTGAGTTGTTCATGCTATGCCACACCTGTTTCATCCTTTCTATTTATATATTTTTACCTGGCTCATTTGAGTAAATTATAGATGTGACAGAGCTTTATATGCCAGGCCAGGCAGTGCCCCCTACATGGCTGTAGCACTTCTGGCTTTATCAGGGAATCAGTATTGCTACCAGGCCATCACTTAGTCCTCAGACCCCACTGGGGACTCGCTCCCAGCTACCTGACTCAATGCAGTTATCCTTGCTACATGCAGTGGTGTGTCTAGTCCCCTCAGTCTGAAATGCTCCCTCAGTTTTTCTGTGTCTTTCTAACCCTGAGCCCTCTGAAGTGTGCAGCCACCCCTTTGCTTAGGCTCTGTGGTGTCTGGGCTTTCTTAGCATGAGTGCCACCACAGGGATGCCAGGTCATCCCAGGTAATTCATCAGGAGGACTCTGTCCCTTTGCACCCACTACTGGTGACATTAGTTTGATTACTGGGCCAAGGGAATGTCAGCCTAGATTTACCACTAGAAAGTGGAGAAAGTACATTGTGCCTGGACTGATTAGTAATGAGGATTTAGTGGGAAGATGTGTGGAGACTGTAATTATCAGTACCATTAGCATCCACTGTTGAGTCTCAGCCAAATTAGCTATCAATAGAGCAGTTGCCAAATGCTGAGTTTCTGATTTCATTCCTCCTATACTTGTTAGTGGGTGCTCTGTGGTTAAGACAACTTTTCTCTCTCCCCATGTATTTGTTTGAGTCTTATCAGTAGAGACCTGGCAGTTGTCACGTGGTTCCACAGGTTATGATCTGTTACTTCTGTCCTTGATTATGTTGTTTACATTGCCCCTGGGTTGACCAGCAGGAGCCTCTGACTCAGCAGGCCTGTCCTTGTCTCCCTCAGGACACCAGCCATGCCCTTTGCCTCCTATGGCCTCCACCACACCAGCCTCCTGAAGCGGCACATCTCTCATCAAACATCTGTGAACGCAGACCCTGCCTCCCACGAGATCTGGAGGTCAGAAACTCTACTCCAGGTGAGTGCTGAGGAGGCTGGTCTCTCCTGTATCAGAATGAACTGCTCAGCCACCATCCACCATGTGGACAGAGTCCCAGAGGTGGCCATTCAGTTTGGGGGTAGTTCTAAATTAGTGTTTTTTTTTTCTGCTGTGACATTTAGAAAACAGATGAGAAGAAATCTACCGACTTGTCTCCTTATAGTATGTCATTAACAGTGTTTTCCATCCCAGGGTTCCCTGTCCACAGGAGTTTGTTTTGGTTTTGCTCATGGTGACATAATCATTGCAGAATCTTTAAATTTACAGTGGATGTGTATAAACACTGTCCCCACCCTACCCTGCCCCTCTCTCTTTATTCTGTGTTATTGGAGATGTGTCCTATGCTTGCTGTCATTTGAATAGTAAGCTCCAGGGGCCTGTGACTCCTCCACTTTGGTTGGTAAGGAGCCCCCAGCCCTTCCGTGTCAGGGGATCCAAATAGGAGGCGGCAGAGTCTTTGTGTGCCCTCATGGGCTTCAGCCTCTCATACCAGGCGTGGGCTGGCTTCCTCCTTGAGTGGTCCTGTTCTTCTGAGCAGTGGCAACCTCTAAGGCCCTGGCTGTGTCTCTAAGTACACATTGGAGACTCTGCTGCTTCTGACCTGGATCCTGGGCCTGACTTGGTAGCCATAGCATCACTGGTGACAGCATGGAACGTAGATAAGATGGGGTTTTGGACTCAGCGCCCATAGCACAGTGGTTATGGCGCCAGCCACATATACCAAGGCTGGCAGGTTCAAACGCAGCCTGGGCCTGCTAAACAACAACTGGCAGCCTCAGGAGGTTGGACTGGTAGAAATCATCACCTCTATTCACAGGAGACAGTGGTGGCTCAGGTAGCTCACAGCTGCTATGGACTCAGGACTGTGTCACCCTGTAAGGAAGATAGGTGACCAAGACATAGGCTTGCAGGGTAGAATTGGAAGATTCTGTTTCCTGGACCAATTTTAATTGCAAAATATATGTAACATGATATTTATCACTTTAGCCATTTTTGAGTGTGTGTTCAGTAGTGTTAAGTACATTCACATTGTCATGTATCTAATCTTCAGAATGCCTTTTATTTTGTGAAATTGAAACTATACCCATTAAACATCCTGTCATTCCCTCCCCCTAACATCTGGCACCCACAGTTTTGCTTTCTATTTCTATAAATTTGACTACTTCAGATGCTTATATCTAGAGTATTTCTCTAAACTATGTGGTATTTATTTTTTGCATTGCTTTCTTGTGTCACTTGAACATAATGTCCTAAAGGTTCAATGTTCTGTTGTGTGGCCATACCACATTTTATTTGTCCATCTGTCAGTGGACACTCGGGTTGCTTCTACTTTTTTATTTTCTTGAGACATTTCCAAGCTGTCACCCTGGGTAGAGGCTGTGGCATCATAGCTCACAGCAACCTCCAACTCTTGGGCTGAAGCGATCCTCTTGCCTCAGTTTTTCTATTTTTAGTAGAGTCGGGGGTCTCACTTTTGCTCAGGCTGGTCTCAAACTCCTGAGCTCAAGCTATCCACACACCTCAGCCTCCCAGAGTGCTGGAATTACAGGCATGAGCCACCATGCCCAGCATTTTTTTTTTTTTTTTTTGAGACAGTCTCACTATGTAGCCCTTGGTTCCGTGGTATCACAGAGCTCACAGCAACCTCACACTCTTGGGTTTAAGCAATTTTCTTGCCTCAGCCTCCCAAGAAGCTGGGACTACAGGCTGCTTCTACTTTTTAACTATTAAGAATAACACCACCCAGCGGTGCCTGTGGCTCAAAGGAGTAGAGCACTGGCCCCATATGCTGGAGGTGACAGGTTCAAATGCAGCCCCAGCAAAAAAAAAAAAAAAAAAAAAGAATAACACTGCCCCTGGATGTACAAATATCTCAGCATTCAGCCTTGAATTCTTCGGTGTATACACCAGAATTAGGGTTGCTGGATCGCATGTTAATTCTATGTCTAATTTTTTGAGTGACCACCATACTGTTTTCCACAATGGCGGCACCATTTTTGCCAGTATGTTATTTTCTGTTTTTATTTTTTCCCATAAGTAGCCACCTGATGGGTGTGAAGTGGGGTCTGGTTTTGACTTGTGTGTCTGCAGTGAGTAGTGATGCTCAGCATCCTGTGTGTGCTTGTCCATATGTATGTCTTTAGAGAAATGTCTGTTCAAGTCCTTTCCCCAAGGTAGGTTTTCCAGTTGAGTTTTAGGAGTTTTCTGTATTCTAGATATTCTTTATCAGATACATGATTGGCAAATACATGTTTTCTCCCATTGTATGGAATGCCTTTTTTTTTTTTTTTTTTT